TAACCTTGGCCCGATCTGTGCCTTGCCACAATTCTGTGTCTGAGCTCTTCAGGCAGTTCCTTTGACCTCATGATTCTCATTTGCTCTGACTTGCACTGTGAGCTGTAAGGTCTTATATAGACAGGTGTGTGGCTTTCCTAATCAAGTCCAATCAGTATAATCAAACACAGCTGGACTCAAATGAAGGTGTAGAACCATCTCAAGGATGATCAGAAGAAATGGACAGCACCTGAGTTAAATATATGAGTGTCACAGCAAAGGGTCTGAATACTTAGGACCATGTGATATTTCAGTTTTTCTTTTTTAATAAATCTGCAAAAAATGTCAACAATTCTGTGTATTTCTGTCAATATGGGGTGCTGTGTGTACATTAATGAGGAAAAAAAATTTACTTAAATGATTTTAGCAAATGGCTGCAATATAACAAAGAGTGAAAAATTTAAGGGGATCTGAATACTTTCCGTACCCACTGTATATATATATGGATCTTATACAAGTGCAACCCTCCATCAGAGCGTCTGGAGTGTCCACGCAGCTTTAGCAGAGCGTGTTGCATGCAGACAGTTTTGAAAGATAATAGCCTACATCTTAAAAAATAGCTTAAAGATATAGTTCACCCAAAAATGATTATTCTGTCATCGTTAAAACTGATGTTTCAGACCTGTATGAGTTTTTTCAGCTGTTGAATATAAAATAAGATATTTTGAATAATGTGTGTAGCCAAACAGTTGCCGGTAGCCATTGACTTCCATAGCATTTTTATGGATACTGTGGAAGTCAATGGGTACCGTCAACCGTTTATTCACTAACATTCTTCAAAATATCCTCTTTTGGGTTCATCAGAAGAAAGAAACTCATACAGGTTTGAAACTGATAAATGAAGACTATTTTCAGTTTTGATGAACTATCGCTTTAATTCAACACATTTTAATAACACTTTAAAACAAACAGATAGTCAGTCTCTGTACTCGGTGCACACTAGTAACTTTCAGTTTTACAGCAGCAGTATTACACAGGTCTCTGCTTTCATTTCCATTTATTAATTCCTTGTTTCTCAAAATACACATTCAACATTTTTTAAACAAAATGTCAAAAGTCGGTCACTGTTATTCAGTCAAACAGTGCATCTGCAGTCCGAGGTGAAGTCTTATTGTCCCACGGCACACATCAGCTCCCAGACGTTAGAGAGTTGAGAAATATTCCTTCTGGAACTTCTGGAAGTCCTTCTCAGTGAAGACGGATTCCTCCTCCTGTTTGGAGGCGGGCGGATCGGGCCGATGACGATGGTTTTAAGTAGGTTTGAGATCATCTGAGCTGGTTTGAGGGGTTTTGAGCAGGTTTGCTGGTGTTTAAGCAGGCATAAAGTAAGTTTGAGATCATCTGAGCTGGTTTGAGGGGTTTTGAGCAGGTTTGCTGGTGTTTAAGCAGGCATAAAGTAAGTTTGAGATCATCTGAGCTGGTTTGAGGGGTTTTGAGCAGGTTTGCTGGTGTTTAAGCAGGCATAAAGTAAGTTTGAGATCATCTGAGCTGGTTTGAGGGGTTTTGAGCAGGTTTGCTGGTGTTTAAGCAGGCATAAAGTAAGTTTGAGATCATCTGAGCTGGTTTGAGGGGTTTTGAGCAGGTTTGCTGGTGTTTAAGCAGGCATAAAGTAAGTTTGAGATCATCTGAGCTGGTTTGAGGGGTTTTGAGCAGGTTTGCTGGTGTTTAAGCAGGCATAAAGTAAGTTTGAGATCATCTGAGCTGGTTTGAGGGGTTTTGAGCAGGTTTGCTGGTGTTTAAGCAGGCATAAAGTAAGTTTGAGATCATCTGAGCTGGTTTGAGGGGTTTTGAGCAGGTTTGCTGGTGTTTAAGCAGGCATAAAGTAAGTTTGAGATCATCTGAGCTGGTTTGAGGGGTTTTGAGCAGGTTTGCTGGTGTTTAAGCAGGCATAAAGTAAGTTTGAGATCATCTGAGCTGGTTTGAGGGGTTTTGAGCAGGTTTGCTGGTGTTTAAGCAGGCATAAAGTAAGTTTGAGATCATCTGAGCTGGTTTGAGGGGTTTTGAGCAGGTTTGCTGGTGTTTAAGCAGGCATAAAGTAAGTTTGAGATCATCTGAGCTGGTTTGAGGGGTTTTGAGCAGGTTTGCTGGTGTTTAAGCAGGCATAAAGTAAGTTTGAGATCATCTGAGCTGGTTTGAGGGGTTTTGAGCAGGTTTGCTGGTGTTTAAGCAGGCATAAAGTAAGTTTGAGATCATCTGAGCTGGTTTGAGGGGTTTTGAGCAGGTTTGCTGGTGTTTAAGCAGGCATAAAGTAAGTTTGAGATCATCTGAGCTGGTTTGAGGGGTTTTGAGCAGGTTTGCTGGTGTTTAAGCAGGCATAAAGTAAGTTTGAGATCATCTGAGCTGGTTTGAGGGGTTTTGAGCAGGTTTGCTGGTGTTTAAGCAGGCATAAAGTAAGTTTGAGATCATCTGAGCTGGTTTGAGGG